CTGAGAAACATTTCATGGCTAATGATTTTTTTTTTTCTTATTTCAGTTGCCGTGCTTGATTTGATCTTATTTTTTCACCAAAGGAGCCCTATAAACCAACAACAGCAACGGGTTGTTAGCCTCTATAAGTCATTCAGCAGTAAGTATATTCTCTAGGTACTACTTGTATTTCTTTTGCTGTTTAGATCCCTGTATTTCAGGAACCCTGGACCAGAATTAGTATGTAGATATTTTTTTACAATATACTAAAACATCTGAACCCTGATCATTTTCCTAACAATCTGTCAGCTTATCCAATGGGGCTCAGAGCCCCTCCCAGGAAGCACAGGCAGGGGAATCCCATCCCATCGCAGGGATTTTCATAACATGGGATCTTGTTTCATTGGTTTTGCTTTGGAAGGAAATTTTATCCTAATGAATACTGTAGATGAGACCATTCCCCTTTAAAACAGCCCTTATATGTATATTTTATTTAATGACATAGTCAATTTGAATGCTTAGCAGATATTTTTTTAAAATCCTAAACTAATTAGAGTTACATTACCCATTGAGACAGCAGGATGTGATTTGGATCCAACAGCCAGATTTTCTTTGGACCCGAGCCATTACATTCTGATTTGTATGCCCAGGGACACTTTGCTGTATATAATTTGGTTTATTTTATACTTACAGGTCTAAACATAATGCTTAATATGCTGACACTTGCCTTTTATATCGAGCTTATTGCCCGGTTGCAAGGCAAATCTTTACTGGGTGAGTTTTCTTGTAATTCAATGCAGGTTTTGTGATACTTAATTAGGTCTCTGAATTCTCACTATTCTATAAAACATATACATTTCCAGTTGGGAAAAAGATCACATTATGTATGATATTGTTATGGACCAAGGGTGGACTTGGGACGATGGCGAGGCATGATGCAGACAGAAACAGAAGTGTGGACGACCCACTTGCGGCTTGCAGGGAAACAGGGATTTATTAAACTGAAAACACTAGGAACACTACAGAACAAAAAGGACCACAAGGGGTCAAAACTAAAAAGGGGATAAACGAAGACTAAATACTAATAGATTAGAGCGTAGGTAGGTTACAAACAACAGAACATTCAACACCTGCTGGTCAAAATGGGGAAGGGACACAGAGTGAAACAACAGGAGCTGACCCTGACAGATATATGTATGCTTTTATTTCTAAACCACCAGAACAACCATGTAGCAGACACAAAAAAGAAGAAAAAGAAAACCATTAAATGACTGTTTATCTGAGGATTTTTTCCCTGGAGTTTGTGTATGTTACACTAAAATCTGACTACTGTGTGGGTCCTGGACAGCAGGGGGGTGGATGGAGAATAAATCCCTGTATTCACAGTGGAATAGGGTGTCTGACAGTATTTCCTTTATTGTTACTAGTCTATGTAACTATGAGGGTCATGTGACTGGGATTGTGTACATTATACTTTTATAAAGACAGATAACGTGGGGTGTTAAAATGTGTAAAACTTTTGTTTCAAATATTTGAAACTCATTCAATGTTTAAGTTTATTTTCATAGCTATAACTGAATGTGTGAATGTGGAATCAGGGTGGAGAATTTTGTAAAGTAACACTTGCTTTCTGATTTCAGGATATTTCATCCCCATTTCAATATTTTCTTTGGGAATATGTGCATGTTTTATTGCCGAAACGTATCTGCAGTCATTCAGACATTTCTGTAAGTATTTGGTATTAAACTGCAATAATGCAATAATTC